ATAATGTGAAACTAAACGAGTACTAAATCAGTGTATTTAAAATATTTTGGGTTCTTGTTACGTTGAATTTTTTAACTAAAATTCATGAAATATCAACTATTACTTATTTTTATGTCTTCTAGAATTGAAGTAGAGTAAGGTTTTGACCCAAAAAACGAAAAAACAAAAAAAGAAGGGTTGGACAGCGCTGGTAACATGGAATATCGAGGGAAAGTCTAGTTTCACATTATAAACATAATGGTAAGCTGTATTTTTATTTAATTATAAAAAATTCGTAGTAAAAAGTACTAATATGTTAGGCAAATATTAAATTTACGATACTTTTTCTGATGTGCTATATGGTAACGCAGCGTGTATTTGAGACCCACAGAAAAATTCTCTACTTTATACAACATTTAATTTATTTTTTCAATTAAAAAAATTTATATTTCCTTGTCTTCTACTCGATATCAACAATGAAAAAAAAAAAAGCAATATACCCCATCATAAAGTGATTTGGTTTGATTTAAGGTCTTTTTATTTAAGATTAAAAAATAACTAATTTTTAAATAGTTTAGAGATTTTATAAAAAAATATTTATTTTATAAATATTTTATAAAAAGTAGACATTATTTTAAATTTAATTATAATAATAAAAAAGTGATTATTAATTAGTTAATTTTAAATTTTATGATATCTTCCTTAATTTTTATTTTATAAAAATAATTTATTATTATATTATTTTAAATTTTTATGATATCTTCATGTATCCCAACTCTTTAAAACACACTCTCTCATCTATCACATTAGATTATTTTTAAAAAAATACTCAAAGTAGCTTTTTAAAATAATCAAATATCTACTTTTTCTCATATTTTAATTATTTTTAAAAGTTTAAATGTATATCATAAAAACTCACAAAATAATTTTTTTAAAAAAGTAATTTTTTTATAAAATAAACTAAAACAAACGAGCCCTTAATCTTATATTTTCAACGATTAATGTGACTTTAATGAAGTTCAATATGAGTTGCTGTGATTTGTCAAGTTTTTTGTATTGTGTAGTTCTAATCAAATTTTTTGTCAAATTATCTCTGATAAATGGATAGTATCATTAAGTTAGAGAAAAAAAGTAAACATTAACTATAAGAGCATTTGAATCCAAATATTTTAATTTTAGATATAATAATTATGATTAATTAATTTTTTTAAACTGGGTAACTTGATTAAAATTCTCCTATCTTCAGATCAAACTTGAAAAAGTATTAAATTAAGTTTAATTTATACCACTTGTCATATTCTTCGGCCCCTCACCAACAACCCACTACCATTAATGCTTCAATAATTTAATGATTGTCACTTTTGATAAAATAAAAATAAAATACAAGAATATATTTATTGGTATATATCACATTCATTTCATATCAGCATCATATTCGTGTATACATATTTACATATTTAATTACAATTAAACAAATATAAATTTAGGTCTCTATACTTTACTCGAGTTTTGTTATAAATCTTTATATTTTTTTAATATTGTAGGTCCATATACTTTTACTTTTTTTATGTTCCAAAATTTCTATAACATTACTTATGGGGGGACATCATTGTTTTTATATATTAATATAATATAAATATAAATATAAAATTTATACAGATAACACTATCTGTAAGGATAAGATATATTCCTAATTAACATAATTGTTTTTTTATATTTTTTAAAAACAAAAGAAAATAACAAAAGTATAATTATTTTTTGTGGTGCATGATTTTTCTATTTGTAATTTTCAGTAAAGTACGGCGACAAGCGGGTTTGATTCATTAAGAAAGAAAACAATGGTTAACGAAAGAAATCAATAATTGAGGACGCGTGGCGTAATTTTATTGGTTATGGAAGCTACGACGAAAACGAGAGGCAACAATCAGGTGCTTGACCATTCACGGAGGCTTCCGCATAGGCGGCGTGTATTGTGGGGTCACTTTCGATTCGTTTACCTTACCGGTATTACAGCTTACACGCTTATAAAACGACGCAGTATCAGTCGTTGTCTTAGTATGTCATTTTCCTTAGGGACATATTTTAAATATAGTTAAATTATTTTAATAGAAAATTGAGTTAACTTTCGCAGAGGTTTTTCTATATATATGTATATACGTGGCACTTTTTTTTCATAAAATACAAATACTTTGGACTATTTGATTAATTTTTTCCTCTTTAATTAACATGTTTTTGAAATAAAAATATTGTTATACAATTCATATAGCTTTTAGCAAGGGTTCAGTTTAGAGTTTAGCCCTTGCATCAAGGAAAATTGTGATTGTATGAATATAAATAAAAACAAGAAAAAAGTCTGACTTTTATTTTTAAAAGAAAAGCAAGAATAAGTAATAGCTGCTGCACTATATGAGACTATTTCATAAAAGTTTATTAAGATTTTGAAAGAAAAAAGACATCAAAAGTAAATTTTTTCAACCTTTAGGAAAAAGATAAAATAAAATAACACCTTTTAAACTTTTTGGGGCAGCATATGCTTCAATTTTTTTATTTATAAATATAAATAATAATAAAAAAATCTAATAAAGCTCATTATTTATAAGCTCTAAATAGAATAATTTATTTTTCAAAACCCGTGCCATGAATGGAACCAGTTAGTATTTGATATGATTTATATATTATTTAATTATCTGAAAGTCAAGGGATTTATTTGTCGAGAATGCTCGAGTTTATATTAATTGAAAGGGACTTTTAATTCTTGCATTTTATTTAGGTTTGATTTAGGTTCCTATACTTTTTTTTACATGTTTTAAGCCTTTATATTTTTTTTCTTTCTACAACGTTAATCCTTACATTTTTATAAGAATTGATATAGCATAAATGATGTTAATGATACTGACATGTTAATTAATATAGTTAATTTTATAATTACATGTCAAATTGATGTTGATATGGATTTTTAATAAGCAAATTTTTTTAAAAAAAACTATATCAAATGAAATAAAGATACTAGAATAAATTTTTTTTAATAAGCAATTTTTGTTAAAAAAAAAGTCCACATTAAATGAAACAAAAATGTTGACGTAGATTTTTTAATCAGCAAAAATTAAAAAAAGCGAAATAAAGATATTGATATAGATTTTTTAATAAGCAAAAATTTAAAGAGTTTATGTTAGGCTTTTTATTTTATAGGCTTTTTTTAAAAATGTTTGCTCTTTAAAAAATTTATGTTAGTATCAATTTGACATGTAAGCACAAAATTAATGACGTTAATTGATATATTAACACTATTAATACTATTTATGTTATGTCAATATTTTTATAAAAATATAGGGATGAACATTGTAGATTAAAAAAAGTGTATAAACTTGAAACATTAAAAAAAAACGTAAAGATCTATACTAAACCTTAAATAAAGTGCTGGGTCATAAGTAGTGTTATTCTTATTGGAATATTAGGTACCTAATAGTAAATAATCTTCAAGATAATAGTATGACGTGTAAAGAATCACTTTTGGCCAACGAGATGATAGCTTTATTGACGTTAAATTTTTATGTTTAACATTAAAATAAGCTTGATAATAATGATGCCATATTTATCTGAATGCCTTAATTTTTTCCCTTATACTCAATTCACAAACAAAACCATGACCTAAACAACTAATGAGAATTTGACACTAGTTTTTATTCTTGCTATAAAAATAATATTATAATAAGATTTTTAATCTAAACCATTATCTCATTTTCAACTTACTTTAGATCTGATTTGTAAACTGAAGAAGACAATCACCTCAACGTGTCAATTGGTTTGCTTTATCACAAAATTTTCAACAAAGGTATGTTTCCACAACTAAGTAGGTAAAAGCCTACGCCTATCAATAAAAATTAAATCATATTAACTAAAACTACCTTGTAATTCAACGTCTAATATTTCTTGGGAGAGGAAAGAAAATTTTAATGAGTTCAATTTTTTTTAAAAAATAATAAACAGAATATGTAAGACAAAAAAATAAAGAAAATTAATTAAGAGCTTTTAATCCCATTTTTCTAAATTTTTAAAATTAAAATCATGAAAATCTCTCGTTTCCTTTTTCTCCTCCCCATTTTCCTCTCCAACCAAACGCACCTACTATACTCTAATTCAAGTTTTATGAAAGAAACTAATTGGAACAATGAGAGGCTTATACCCACAAAGTCTAGTTTGGTTCAATCAAATTAGAACTAAATCATGTTAAAGAAATATATCCATTCAATGAATTTACTTTGCTTCTTAGTATCCATTTTCCTTTCTTAATTGAATATCCAAATGATAATTAAATAAATAAATAAATAAATACATAATATTTCCCTTACTTATATATTATTAGTCACTTAGAAATTTTATATCATATTATCTAAAATATATCGTCTATATCCAAGGACTTGTAAATTCCGAGAAAAAATGCAAAATAATTATCACTATATAAAAGGATATCTATCACATTATATATATGTTATTTTGTTCCTTTTATCCCTCTCTTTATACTATATATATATATATATATATACATATAATATTGAAAATCATTGATATCAAATATATATATATAAGCTATATTATTTATAAATTATAAATAGCATAACTTATCCACTAACAATTAGTCCATAGTTTGAAGTTGTAAGTTAAAATCTCATGACTGATGTAATCGGTAAAACTTTTTTAATGGAAGATTTGTAAGTTTTTTATAAGCATTTTTGAACTCACAGCTATATATTGGCCATGATGAGTTGGCCACTTTTTATGAACATGGCAGGAATCTTAGATTGTATTGATTTGATATGATGAATCATACCAATGGGAAAGAAAACCACACCAAGAAAGTTGAGCACCAAAAGCAGAAAGAAAGCAGAGAAGAAGGAGGAGGAGGAGGAAGAAAAAAGGCCAATCACAGTCAGCATTATAAACCACTCAGTCACCAGCCAAACAGGACAACACATAATTTCAACTTTCAAAAGATGCAACAAAGGAGGCAATGAATGGCCAAGTACCAAACAAAGAGAATATTATAAGTAGCCATCATCATCATCATCACAACCATTCTTATTCTATAATTTGACACTACAATATCAACTCCTTTCTACAAACCACTATGTACATTTAGCATCAGATACCTTTCTACATATATGAATGCTATTTCTTATACCAGTACCAAGTACACCAACCTATATACTCTATATTTTTATTTCCTATTTTCATACACATATTTTTTCAGATTCCTTTTTCTTTTCCTTCCTATTGTTGTTCTATACAACATAGAGAAGCAGTTTCCAACACCGGCCTCAGTGAACACGGCTCAGGTGTTGTAACTTGGTGAAATATAGAGCAAATATATCTTTTTGTTGGCTGAGATTTGCAACTTTATAAGTGGCAAAATCTGCTGTATCTGCTGTTTTGGAGTATAAATATTGGTTGGTAAGTGATTGAAAACCACCCTATAGGATCAGTATTGTATGATGAGTCCTGCCCCAAATGGAGCCCTGTGAGGAATTCCCTTCCTTCTCTTGGCGGCCCGGTAGTTCATTGCTGTTGGTGGCGGTGTTGATGGCGTGAAGCTCTGGATTCTGCTCCTGATGCTTCCATTGCTAAAGCCATTCATTGATTGTTCACCATCAGAACCCTCTTGCTCTGCTAACATTTTCTTCTTCCGGAACTTCTTGGATGTTCCAACAACCTGAGAAAAGAAAACATCCATCAGCTGTATATCAAATTCACAGAATCATGTATTCACTTACTCACACCCATCATCCTTTTTCTATACATTTACAAAGAAATTACATGTAAAAGATCAGAAGGTGATATTAGTAAACTTAGAAGACATTTTCAGTGAAACACACATCAGACATGTATACATATCTCTTCCCAAGAATTTCCCTTCATTCTACACCAAGTCAACCCAAGAATTTCCTTTTCCACAATCTTCCTAAAATCAATTCACTGTAAATTACTAAAAGTGATGTATTCAAAAGATGAAGATTGAAACTGCCAATGAAGAGAATGAATTTTCAGAGACAAGCCAAAAGATAAATCCATATGCATCAATAGTTCACATGAGAGGGTGAAACCAATAAACATAGGCTGAAAGATCAGAGCCATATAAACCACAAACAAGACATGAAGAGGTTAAAAGAAAGTAAAACAGAGAAACAGAAAAAGAAAAAGAGATGGGATTAATTAGATATACCTTGCAACCAAGAGAGCAGAAGTTGAAGGAATCAAGCAGGCTGCGTTCGCAGACCTGACAGGTATTGGTGACGCCCTTGCCAGGCCTAGGCTGAGGCCTTTCATTCAAGAACACAATCTTGGCACTGTTTATAATGTAAGTCTGGACCCCTGTTATGTCCAGAAATTTCTGAATCTCAGACACTCTTATCACATCATGGTATGAAGACCTCCTTATCTTTCAAAAATTTAAAAGAAAAATAGAAGCCATCAGAATTGTAGTCCATGCCATTTAATCTGGATAGAGTATGTATTCATATATGAAAATAAAAAAATGGACAATGAAATCGGGGTAGTGAAGGATGATCAGTTATTCAAAGAGAAGAAGATTCAAGAAGCAAGACTGAAACTGGCAATCCATTTGTTGACTTTGAAGACTAAAAAAATTCAGCAATGAAAGGAGATACAACTTTTTTTTTTTTTTTTTTGGGTTTGAAACAGTCAAAGGGATTGGATCCTTAACAATGTAGGCATGCCATTACAGAAGCAGATTGGTGGATTACAGAGAGCAAAAATGCAATAATTTTGAAATTGTGAGTTCAATTTTTCGAAGAATTGGATCGGAATTCAATGATCGACCCTCCAAAAGGGAAGCAATTTTGACCTAATTTCATACCTGAATAGCTCTGTGGTCTCTGTGAGAAGCCAGACAAGCAGAGCAAAGGGCTCCATTCATACAGTCCAAGCAATACATATTGCATTCACTCTTGTGCGAATCGGCGTGGACTTTGCATTGAACGAAGAAGCTCGTTTGCAGAAGGGGCCCCAGCCATGGCGGCCACTTGTTATCTTCCTCCCCATTATTGAAGTCCTCATCATCTTCCTCGTTGACCCCACCTGCTGCACCAGCGCCTCCCTAATCACCCAGAAACACACAAAAACAAAAAACAAAAAGCACAATCGAATTCAAACCCATTAGAGACAGTGAAGAAGAAGAAGAATGCGAGAGAGAGAAAGTGAAATTGAAACTGTAAATGGAGTGTGATTGTAGATGGCAGCAAGAAGTAGAACGAACCATGATTGGCGTGGTGGGGTTTGAGGGATTGGTTTCTGGAATGGTGGGATGCTGCTGATCAATCATGAGAAGAAGAAAGGCTTCAACTTTTTTGCTCAGAGAAAATGGGTTTGTAGAGAGAGAGAGAGATTGAAAAGGAGAGGGGTAAGGATGGTTTTGTAGTGGTTGGTGGCGGATGAAGAGAAGGAAAGAAGAGGAAGCGTGGAAGTGCTTTGTTTGCTTATCTTTCTTCTTTCTCTCTGTACAAAGTCCACAATCCCAACCTCACGCCCTAACCCAAACCATCACGAGATGCGTTTGTTTCAAGGAACTCTTTTTATTTTATTTACTTTTTCTTTGTTTATGATAATAAATTAATAATAAAGGCCATAATATTGAATGTTGCTTTTATTTCTCGCTATATTCACTATTTCCTCTATTAAAAATATAAAGTTTGTTTTTAAAATTAAATGTTTAAAAATATAAAAAAATTATTTTTAATGTATATTTAATAATGAGTTTTTTAATTTTTTTAATACTTCAATCATTTAATCATTCACCTTTAAGTAAGATATTTTATTAAAAAAAATAAATATGAAAAGAATGACTTTAACTTAAATACATTTAACTAATTTATTAAAAGGTGTAATTTAATTAGAATTTTTTTATATTTTTGAAAGAATGAAATATGTTTTATTTTTTTATTTTTAATTATGGATTCTTTTTCTGAAAAAAAAAAGAATTATGGATTCTTTAAAAGCAAAATTTTATATTCCTTTATTTATTTTTAATTAATAAAATACTAAATAAATATGTATGCTATATAATAAATAAAGAGTAACCTTTTGCTAATTTTATATTGTCAAAAGTTAAATTTAACCTGATAATTGAACTTTTTATTTTTCAATAAAGGGGATTTTTGTTATTTAATAATGAATCAGATATTTGGTCCTGTGAATTGGCTTAACTTTCAAGTTTGATACGTTTAAACTTGCATTAAATTTTATGTGTAATTAATTAAGTGATCAATACGAGTCACATCTCAAAATATAACTCAAAATAAATTCGTGGTTCATTGATGAACACATGGTACTTATCTTTTATAGATCATTTAAATTAGGATTAATATTTACTTACCTGTGAAGTGGAGAATTCATATGAAAATATTTTATAACGGCCCTTAATGAATCACTTGATACTAAGGATCTAGAGGTACGTTTGTTTTAATTTATTTCATAAAAAAATAACTTATTTTTTGAAAAAAAAAAGAATTATTTTGTCAGTTTTTATGATATTTATTTAAAATTTTAAAAATAATTAAAATATAAAAAATAGCATATTTTTTATTATTTTAAAAAGCTACTAAAAATAGTTTTTTTAAAATAATCTAATACGATAAATGAGACAGAATATTTTAAAGAGGAGGGATAGGTGAAGATATCATAAAATTTAAAAATAATTAATTAATAATTATTTTTTATTATTGTAACTAAATATAAAATAATGTCTACTATTTATAAAATCTCTAAAAATAAATATTTTTTTATAAAATTTGTAAACCGCCAAAAAAAATCATTTATTTTTTAATTTTAAACAATCGTCCCCTTCATATTGTTATTTAAAGATTCAATCACTCAATAACTGCCACTAATATCAACTTTCTATCTATAAATGGTACTCGTAAGTTCTAACAATCTTATATTTTGGTCATTTAGAATAATTTGATGGTGCTATGTATTAATCATTTTACATAAAATGGTGAAGTTTAATTAACTTTGTCTAAAATCACCACATTTACAACTCTCTAGACATTTTCTTGTCAAAATTTGTCCCTTTGGAAATGAGTAAACTTGGATGGTCATTTCATAGTAGGTTAAACAGTAAATTTGCTTTTAAATTATATATCTAAAAGTATTTATGATCTTAAATTTATTTTTGTATAATTTTTTTAACTTTTAAAAATGGTGTAATATTACTTCTACTATTAACAAATGCTAACTTTAAAACAAAAAAATTATGAAAAAAAATCTTAAAAATTATAGAAAATGATCAAGAATTTTTTTTTTGGTTTTTTCTGAAATTTTCTTGCCAATCAACTATTAAAATTAACTTTTGTCAATGAAATGAGTGATGTTGCATTGTTTTCAAAAGTTCAAGAAAAACATTATACAGAAAATAAATTTAGAATTTCTGACATTTTTTAACCTATAATTCAAGGGTGAAATTACCCTTTAACTCTTTTACATTATATCATTTTAATAATTTAACTATTTTTTTTAGTTTTGGTGAAGTAATTAAAAGTATCTTATATTTAGAATCAAAGAAAGTATACTCTTTCCACGATTTAAGCATCTTTACCTTAAAATTATCCTAATTCAATTTTTAGTTTGATGAAATATTTTTAATGGTATCAAAAAGTTTACTAAAGTATCGGTTTCAAAAAGTCCGTATAATTTTTGCATAAATAAAGGAAAGTCATTGTATTTTACTTTATCCTTAATTATATTTTGTTATCAATATATAACACCTGCATTTATTATTTTTATTTAAGAATATCGATATATTTCTTATTCAAGAAAATTAATTTTTTATTTTTTTTATGTACTAAAGAGCTCTTGAACATTAAAAATTTAAAACTAGTTAACCATGCTCCAATTGGCCTATATTAGATAGTTTTTATCAATCTCTCATTGTGTTAATATTTTTACAATGCGAGGTCAAAAAAAAAAAAATATATATATATATATATATTCTTACAACATATATATAATATTAATTTCATGTTAAATTTAAATGATAATAGCTTTTGTCATGAGTTTCATACACGAGAGCCTCATAAATAGAGTAAGATTTATAATGAGAGGCTCTTTTTCTTTTTAATAAACTAGTTTTTTCAGATAGACTTTTTCTTTGAATTTGTACTTATGACTTTAATACTTTCATTTAAAGGTCAGTGCCACAAAAAAACTATCCCATAAAAGGTTCTGATCAACTAAAGTTCAAGTGAAGTATCATAAAGTTAAAACTTTTAAGATCGTCAACTTTCAATGAGGTCACATTGTAATAAATTTCACATTCAAGAGTTTCAAAAGTTAATTGAAACTTTTAAGTTCAAGGAACTCTTTCCTTAAAATCATGCTCATTATATTTGTGTTTTTATTTAGAGACTCATGTTATATAAAGGGCTATTCATATAAGGTTTTGATAGGTAAAAAGTTGAGTGAATTGTTATAGTGTGGAGCCACATGAAATGTCGACTCTTAATATGATAAGATTATCAAAAGTCTGTAATCATTTTTGCTTTTATAATTAAATTTGGACTCTTCTCATAATCTCAATTTTACCTTATTCATACATATAGCTTTTCAATCTATATAATAAGAATATACTATGAAATAAGAAATATTTTTTAAGTTTTAGTTTTTGATTTTTAAGTAATTTCTAAATTAAAAGTTAAAAAATAAACAACTTCGAAAATTTAGACCGTTCAATTTAATTCTCTTTCTAAAGGGCAAAAAACTGTGCTAACAAGTACAATCGAACTCTTTATCATAAATGCAAGGAATCAGATCCGTTCACCCATTGATGCGAGTTTCTTCATAAATTAATATTACAGTATATTATATATTAAGTAAAATGATATATTTAATGCGCAAGTTTAATATTAAAAAATAGAAAAAAATTATATACTTAATCTTATATATTTAATGTACTTATTTCAATCAAATCAAAATATGTGAATCTTTTATAGATTATTCATTTTATAATAAATCTTGTTATTAATTTTATTAACATATTAAAATTCACTTATCATGATTTGATTAGATATAAATATATTAAGTATATAAGGCTGATTACATAAGTCTTACCCTAAAAAATATACCATTAAATGTTTGGATTAATTAACTAAGAGGTTGATCAACTTAACTAAAGATCTTAAGTTTAAGCTTAAGAATGTAGCAATGATTAAATTTTGAGTCAAATGTCTAATATAACAGAGCAAACCGAAAAAATATTAGCAAATTCAAAATAAGGATCAAGAGTGAATTGATCTAAAAATTTACTACTTTATTTCATGATTTCAAATTTTTTGTTCCTATTTAAATTTAATTTGATCTTTTGATCCTTTAATGTTATTTCTCTTAAACATTATTTCAGTTCAAAAAAATTAAAAAAATATTATATCTTTTTCATAACAGACAAAAAATAAATTAATGAACATACAAACGCCACTGCTTTTATATTTTGGAAGATTCTGAGCTCAATACAAATAATTATTCCATAAATTAAATATATCAAGATTGGAACTGACACTTGGATAGGAGGCAAAATATAAAAATAAAAAATGTCTTAGAATATGAGAAAGTCTTTTTATTTTATTTTATTTTTTTTTGCTTTAGGAAAATGTGAATTGCTAAGTGTTGGATTCTGAAGAGCAAGGCGGACATTCAAATTCAGTTTAGTTGAACGACTGCTGCGCTTAGAATTGCAGCTTGGAATCTTCTCTTTTTAAAATTTAGAAAGGTTCCATTTTATTAATTTAATATAGGAAGTGTTTTCAAATTTCAACAATTGAATTTGATTCGAAGAATGGATGCAAAATGTTTCTCGTACTTTTTGGATTGAAAAACTTATAAGAAAATATAATAAGCATTGATGATTATTTATTCATTATTTATAATAAAAAACTTAAAATATACAAACTCCTCTAAATTTTAAAACAATTACACAGAACGAAAAACCCTCTCTTTAAAAGTTTAAAATTAATATTTGGAACTTTTTAATTTTGTTAATCACAGACTTGGCTACCATTGTTTCTTAACTATCTTACTTTTTTTTTATCTCATTGATCTAATATGGTAAATTCTTTAATAAGATAATAGAGATATTAACTGTAGGGGGTTTGAAAAAATAAAATAAAAAGCTAGGAATATTAGTTTTAAATGTTTAAAAATGAGAAGAATTATGTGCGGCTACTTCAAAGCTTATGAAGAGTTTGGTATATTTTAGACTAATAAAAAAAGAAAAAATATAACAAACATTACACGTATTTCATTCCAAGAAGGAAAAACAGAAACTAAAGTATAACTCCAAATTGCTCATGAGTTGATTTATTAAAAATTTTATAAATTTTTATTTTAATAATAATAAATTTAAAGTATGCATTTAATTTTTTAATTTTATATAAATTTTTATTTTGATCTCTTAATTTTATAAATTTTTTTAATTCTTTAACCCTAATATCATTAATAAGAAATTC